TGGTGCTGGAGGTTTTGGAGGGACTTCGACGCGCGCGCGCGGCCGGCGCGCGCGAGTGGCCCGCGTGGTGTCATTTGACTGCGGCGCCCCCCCCTGGCGCGCGCGAGGGCGTTCGAGTGATGTCGACGCACGCGCGCGCGAGAGGCCCGTGTGGTCGCCTCTGGCGACCATGTTGAAGCACCCCTCTCTCCATGCATATATATATATATATATATGTATATATATATGTATTACATATATATATATATATGTATCTCTATATGTCTGAAGGATTGTATGAAGGATTCGCGTGCGCGCAGACTTTTTGGAGCGCTCGCGCAACTTTTCGGGGCTCTTGACTTTCTTATCCGCGCGAATTGAAGATTCTGGCGTCGCGCGCGCGTGCGTTTCGCATTATACTTTGCTGCGGGTTCTTGCGCGTGAATGATTTGTGATTCGCAAGTACGCGCGCGCGTCGTCATAATTTTCGAACGCGAAAGGGGGCGTCGGAGGGGGGGGGGGCGTTGGTTTAACTGGGGTGATGTGAATTCGGCCGTAAAATGGACGACGGGGCAGAACCAAAAGTAAACTGCGCATCCCCATGGGGCCGCGGATAGTCCCGCCTCGGGAACGCGGCGGGTCCAAATTTTCCCGCGGAGAGGTGAATCTACATGGCGCGCCTCGCCCAGCCCGACTTAAACATGTCAGCTCCACTGCTCGCGCGATCATCCTGCCCGCCCGCCCGCCCGCGACCTAACTTGCGCGGCCCATTCGGCTGGGGTTGCGATGACTGCTCGGCGCTTGCCGGCGCGTCGCTGCGGCCGCGCTGACGCGAGCGGGCTCGCGAGTAGAGCGGACGGCCAGTCTGGCGCGACCAACGCGGCCGCGGTGGCGCCGGCCGCCGGGGCTCGCAGGCCGCGCTGACGCGCGGGCACTTCAGTGCGAGTTGGTGACTCGGGCGTGCGCAGTATTATGGCGACGTCGACGTCGGCAGACGCGATGGTGATAGTAGCGATGCTGGCGGCGATGGTGGCAGTGGCGACGGCAAAACCAATGCCAACGCCGATGCTGATCACGACGGTGAACATGATAGTGGCCACGCGTCGGTGATGAGGACTTTGAAGGATGTCGGCATGCGCGGCAGACGTGCGCGAGCGGCCCGCGCAGTGTGATTCGACGGAAATCGCGCCCCCCCCCCGCCCCAACGCGCGCGCAAGGGCGCCCGAATGACTTCGAGATGCGCGCGCGAGGGGCCCGCGTGGTCGCGCGCGTCGAAAAAAGGTTGCGCAAACAATGTGTATCATGGGAATGCGTAAGAGCTCGTTCGCAATGTCTTTTGAAAACGATGTTGCGCAGCCATGTTTTTTTCCAATATGGTTCGGGGCGCTCGATTATGCATTCTTCGCGAAACCGGTGATTCTTGAAAGATTTCGGCGTTCGCGCGCGACGACGCGCGCGCGTGCATTTCTTCCTCTTGGGGCTCTTGTGGATGGGGGATTTCGGAAGAACGAGCGGGGACACCACGGGGCACCGGCTGCCGGAGGAGTTACATTTGGTCCGGCCGCGGCCCAGCCACAGGAGGATTTCGGGACACCGGCGGCACACCGGCGGGACACGGCGGGGCACCGGCCGCCGGAGGAGTTACATTTGGTCCGGCCGCGGCCCAGCCACAGGAGGATTTCCTCTCGCCCGCCCACGCAGCTTCGCCTCGCCCGCACGCACGGACGGCACGCACGACACGAACCCGAAACCGAAATCGATTTCCCAGTAGGGGGGGTCTCCATTTCACCTCGGACTCACCCCCCAACCTCCGATGTACGTATACATCTTATAGTTTCTGGGGGCGGGCGCAACTCTTCCTTTTGCACCTTCGCCTCCTTCGCGCCGCCCCAGGGACGCTGCGCCAGGCAGGAAACTTTTACGACAACGCATATATTCCAAGTCTGTTTCCAGGTTTGGGTCCGGAAACCTGGTGACAGTACAGTTCGCCCATTTATGTGTCAAGGTTCTGGCAAGGAAGCCATGCGAAAACATAGATCTCCTAGATATCAAAGTCTTGGTAGGGAAAACGTGCGAAAACACGGTGAACCCATATACTTTGAGATTTCTGCGAACGTGCGCCGGTCCTCATCTTGCTCCTCCGCCTCCTCCGCGCTCGCCACCGCCGCCGCCGTCGTCGTCGTCGCCGTCGTCGTCGTCGCCGCCGCCGTCGTCGTCGCCGCCGCCGCCGCCGTCGTCGTCGCCGCCGCCGTCGTCGTCGTCGTCGTCGTCGTCGTCGTCGTCGTCGTCGTCGTCGTCGTCGTCGTCGTCGTCGTCGTCGTCGTCGTCGTCCCCTCCCCATCCCATCAGGTGTGGGGGGGGGCGAGGGACCCTAAGACCCATCCCATCTGGGGGGGGGGGAGGGGAGGGGCTCATGGGCCCAGAGCCTGGGATTATATATGGGGTAACTATGCTTTCACCGGGTCCTTGCCAAACGCTCAGAAAATGCCCACAGAGGGCCTCATGACGAGCCAAAACTGCCCCAAGACGCCACCGGGCTCGCGGCATGGAAGCCCGAGGACCCCCCCAGAGGCCGCCAGGAGGCGCCAGGGACGTCTTCAGAGGCGCCGCCTCGGAGGAGCCTCCGCAAACAAATATGCGGAGGAAGGGGAAGTGTTCGCGGGGCAATTAAGGCGAGAACGAGGAAGAGGAAGAGGACACACGAGGGAAGGAGAAGGATCATTCTGCATTTGAGACGTGAAGAACCAAGGTGCCTGGCGCGAAACACGAATGCAGTATTACATGTATGTATGCGTGCCTGCATGCATGTATGTAGGCATGTATGCATGCATGCACGTTGACAATAGGTAGGTATGTGTGCATGAATGTTTGTATGTATGCATGCATGCATTTATGTATATAGGTATGTAGGCATGTATGTACTTCTCACATCTATAGTTTCCCTCGGTCCTTGCCACCGGTGGGACCCCAGGACCTGCATATGTACACACATATATATGTATATATATATATATATACACGCATATACACATGTCTATGTCTATGTCTATGTGTATCTGCCACCGTGCCCTGAGGCACGAGTTGGACTGATTTGAGGTCCCTGCGAATTCTCAATATTAGGTGGTGTGAGTATTTTTCAAGAGTTCTGGGCGCGTTTTTCGGGACATGCCTGTCCAACATGGCCTAAGAAGGCCCCGAAAACCGTTCCTGGAGCTCTCTTCGGTGCCTCATGGGCCGTCTTGGAAGTCCTGGAAGGCGGCCCAAGAAGCCCAACAAGTCAACATCCGTTGGTTTTTGTACGGTTCAGACATTGTCCAAACGGTCCAAGAGGGGCCCAAGGCAGCCCCAAGAGGGGGAACACGAATTGACATTGCGCAACCTGGGCACGGTGGCGGGATGGGCCGAAGGCCAACCCGCGTATATTTACACATATATATATATATACACACACATACAAGACTGCATTGGCGCTTCGCGCTAGGCACTTTGGTCATTGAAGTTTGGTATGCAGGTGGAATGGCAGAAAGGTCAAGACGACAATTCAGCGATAACTCCTGGTTGCCTTTTCGGGCATCGTCGTTATAATAATGTTATTCGTTATCCTTCCTCCATGCTTCTTTTTCCTCATTCTCGCCATACCCTGCTTATCCTCCTCATCCTCCTCAGCTCTGTTTGCGGAGGGTCCTTCTTGGAGAGCCTCTGGGGGCCTCACAAAAATTGTCAGGCTTTCTTGCGGCCTTCTGGAGGCCTCCTGGGCGTCTTCTGGGGGCCTCTGTGGGCTTCCTCGGGCCACCCTGCCTTCAACCGCGGTCTCCCTGAACGACCGGGTCACGATTTGGAATGCATCGGAGGGTGTCTTGGGGCCATCTTGAGCCGTCATGGGGCTCTCTTAGGCCATCTTGGAACCCTGTTGTGCCGTCTTGGGGCTCCCTTGGACTGAGAGGGAGCCCTTTCGGATGGTTGTGTTGCGTTTTTCGAGCCTCCCAGCCAGCTTCGGACGCCCAGAAGATGGGGCTCTCTGGGGTCGCTTCGGGAGCGCGCCAGAACGCCTGGAGCCATCTGGGGCCGTCTTCGGGCTCTCGTGGGGTTCTCCTGGGTCATCTGGAGGGTTGCCCGAGAGGCCTGGGGTGGGCCAAATTCGTTAGGGGGGTAGGGTGTGTGCGCTTTTTCTGGGGTCCCTGGATGTGCGCTGTGTGTGTGTGTGTGTGTGTGTGTGCGTATGTGTGTGTGTGTGTGTGTGTGCTTTTTCCGGGGTCCCTGGCTCTATAACATATATATATATACACATGCATATAACATACATGTCACCTGTTCGTTTCAGACGTTGACAGACGTGCTGTCAGAAATTGGCTTGTTGCTTTCCCCTGGCCCACTGTGCCCACACCCTTCCCGCCAATGTAGCCCAGCCTAGGCCAGTTCACAAGGCTGCAAGGTCTGGAGGAGAGGCCTCTAGACGTCCATAATCGCAGCGGCGCGCGGCCGAGAAGCAGAGGATGCCAGGGTACCCTTGCGAGCGCCATCCTCGTCGAATGTGCAAAGGTGCAAGGTGCCTTCCGCAAGTCGCTTCCTCGTGCTACGGCCCAAGCTGTACGCGAACCCATCCAAAGAACGTCCACGTAAGTGTGTGCAAGGGTCAAGGGCCGTCTTGTGGACGGCCCCGCGGCCCAGACGCGGCCTCCAGATCCCAAGAAGTGAGCAAAACCTGCAGCGCGTTCAGCCAAGGCTCCACGCCTCCCGTCCGACCTCATCCCCACGCCACTAGGCCATTCGAACTTAAGCGGGTGTGTGCGAGTGGGCTCCAAAATCATCCTCATATGGTCGAGAACTTTTGCTTAGCGTGTCGCGGCGGTGGCCACGGTGACACGCGATGCCCTGCGAATAGACAGCGAGTCGCTCCGCTTCGCGTGGCGGGAAGTCGGATAAGGCTCGGGAAGTTGACGCCTGGGGCCGGGTTTAGGAATAGCGTGTCGCGCCGAGGCTCGGTAGGCCAGAACTGGCAATGGGACACGCTAAGGCAGAGCTTCTCACCGTCAGTCCTTCCTCCTCGTCGCTCGGACGTCGAATATCACATTCCTCAACACAAACGCGGCCCGCCCGCCGGGCGAATCAGACGTTACTTGCCGAAGTCAGCTCCCGATAAAATCGCCTTGGCGTCGCCGATGGCGTCCATCTCCTCCTGCCGCGCCTTTTGACGGATGTCGAAATACTTGAGCAAGAAATCCGCCGAATCTCTTTGGGGTCACAAGACGTGTGAGACTCTTCCTCCGACTCCGCCTGTCTCTCCCCCGACGGGCCTCACCACAAGCCCTGTGGGCATAGGTGGTTTAAGGGCGCATGTGGGAAAAACGCTCAATTGGCAACATCCGACAGCTCCTCGGAGCTTTGGTGAAGAACTCATCGCCGATGTGTACAACGCACTGAAGGTCTGTGCATTCTGGAATTCGTCGGTGAAACTTCGACACTGGGCAGGGTCAACCAATCTTAAAGAAGAAAGAGCTGGATTCCCGACACGTTTGACTTTCAAACATGCTCTGCGCGTTGCAAGCTATCTTGTCTCGATCCAGACCGTGAATGACTATCAGTTCGGCTGTGGGAGTCTTGGAGCCTTCTGGCTCGTTCTCGACCGCGGCTGGCAGCACCGCACTCACCACGTGGCGGGCGTATTCCTCGGCAGACGACCACTCCGTCTTCAAAAACGAATGCGACCCTTAATTTTGGTCTCACTCCGACGGCCCTTCGATGATTGAGGTCTGGTGAAGGGGCTTGGGGTTGTTTGAATGAGACGGCACTTGCCGCATTCTCATGTTACTCATGCGTTGGTCCCTGGCGCCTTGATCGGCACCGCCATGAATACAAGCAGTGAACCACACGTGTCCATCGAATTTCAACTGTGGCGCTCAAGTATTTCTTGACTTGGGCTTTGTTTTTTTGACCACGGTCGACATGGACGGTTTTCTCACTGTTTCCGACCTGTGCCGGTCGACTTCAGCCCTTGCAGAACCATTCGTTCTTTCCCTTTGGGGGGTCTACCCTCGTACCTCCTTCCCGAGGTCTGGACTGGTGTGTGTGTGGTGTGTGTCGCGAGGTGTTGCAGGGCCTGTGGATGCCAAAGCAAAAAGCCTAGCCCGAGGTGGCCACGGAGCCTCACAATAATGATCCCAATATGCCCAAATCATCCAGCAACTGTAATGTCTTATCAGTGGTTGCACTCTCGCCATTTCGCTTGCGATGGGCCCCAGGAGGGGCGCAGAAGGATCCCAGGAGAGCCCCAAGGCCCCTCAAGAAGGCTCCGAGAGCGTCTCAAGAGCTCAGAGTGAATAGCCAAGCGGGAGCGCGGTCGATTGCCTGAAGGACAACCCCACGGCCCCCCAGGACTCTCTAAAGTGCCCAGAGAGAGCGCCGGTATGGATCCAGAAGCTCCAACAAGGCCCCAAGGGAGCCCCAAGATGGCTCTAGGCGGCCTCCAAGAGGCTCTCAGAGGCCCCCCACTTGACAATTGTTGCAGGATGTTCGGGCTGATCTCAGCTTCGCCTTGACTGGTGCCCCCCTCCTTGTTGCGCTAGTGCTCCCCCAGCCACCCTTGTGACAACATCTCGCCTGGGAATCGTTGATGGATGTGCTGCTGGGGGTATGCAACGCGTCAAGACTTGCAAATTTGAGAACGGAGAAGACGAGTTCATCACGTAAGGGTTCCGAGCGCTGATTTATTATGTAAAACGGCTGCAGAGTGACCCACGAGAGCCCTGGGATGCCGTCAGGACGATCAAGGAAGCCTTCAAGACTCTTAGTTGAAGAAAGTGAAGGGGCCCCAAGAAACTCAAATGGCACATGTGAGGCATCCAGAGACGCTCCAAGAGGGTGCTCGAAGGGGCCTCAAGACGGCCCATACTTGTCCAAGGCCTACCCAAGATGGCCCAAGAAGGCTCAAATACAACCCAAGAGGGCCCCCAGAGGGGCCCCAGACGGTCCAAGAGGCCGCCAAGACAGCCTCTGGCGGTCTCCCGAGGGAGCCAAGTTGGACCAAGGCGGCCCGCAGATGGCCCCAAGATGGCTCCCTCACTTCTTCTGAGTCTGTTTAATCAACGCCTGCAGTGGCCACCCGCAGTCTCGAAAACATGAGGGGGTCGGCGAATGTGGCGCAGCAGTATGAATCGCACTCCAGGTGGTGCGCGTGCAGCAGTTCCGCGAGGTTCTTCAGCTCCTCCTCGTTGGCCAGCTGAGACTCCTCTGTCTCGCTCTTCTCCACTTCGGTGGAGGCCACCTGCTGCTCCTTCTCCTCGATCGCAATGCGGTCTGCCTCGATGCTGGCCGTGAGGCCGTTCACGATGGCCGCGTAGCGCTTTTGCGCCTCGTTCTCGTCCTTGTCGAGTGCCTGCTCAGTGCGCGTGGCGTCCTCGATGACCATCTGTATGACTTGCAGGACCCCTGCAGCGCCGGCGCCCTTCTCGTATGCCTCTGGGAGGGCGCCAACGATACACTTTACACATGTCCTGGCCAGGCCCATCCTGGGCCCAAGATCGCGTATGTATGCTCTCCTGGCTTGTCCCGGAAACAACTGACACCGATCCTGGGCCCAATGGTCGGCCTGGCCAGGAGCTGTGCCGGTGCATGCTCGGCGTCCCCCGAGCCTTTCCCCTGGCCGGTGGCGGAGGAGCGGTGGCGCCAGGAACGGGCTGCTGAGTCTGCAGCATGGCGTAGTATGTCTTCAGCCGCGCGAGGGCCTTCTCGAGGATGCGCACCGTGGCGCGCTGGTCCATGACGGAGGCCTGGTACAGCTGGTTGTCGGCCTTCCGGTCCTCGCCTGCGTCCTTGAGGGCCACCTCGTTGTCGGCCACCTGCTTCCTGAGCTCGGCAATCTCACCATTCAGGGTGTCGATCTTCTCCACCAGCAACGTGTGCGTCTCGCCGAGCTCCTTCTTCGTGCGTTCCTCCACCTTGATGGTGTCCTCGGTCTTGTCGATCTCGGACTTGCAGGACTCCCACTTCTCGTACTCCTTCTTCTGCTGAGTTGCCAGCTCGGCCGCCATGGCGTCCATGGCCGCGATCACCTCCGTGAAGGAGTCCAGACGGGTGCGCACGGCCAGCGACACCAGCGCCCAGTTCTTGTGCTTCTTGGCAATCGCCGCGATGCGCTGCATGGCCTTCTCGGAGCGTCGGTCCTGTGCGAGTTCTGCCTCAGCGGACGCCCTCCGCTGCGACCGCTGCTGCAGCAGGCTGAAGGAGCGGCCGAACGTAGCGCGCGCGTCGTCCTCGGTGAGGATCTTCAGGGCCTCGGACAGCGCGTGGATCTCCTCGGTGCGGTCCGCCAAGCGCTGGTGGTAGGCCGCGTCCTCGTCCTTGCAACTCTGCTCGAGCTCGGCGAGGAACGCCTCGTCCGCTGCCTTGGCGTCCTCCATCGCGGCCTTGTCCGCATTGGCCTTCGCGATGGCGTCGAGGAGCTCGGCTAGTGCTGTCTCCTTGCGCTTCTTCGTCTCGGTGGCGATGAAGATCTCGGAGGCCTTGGCAGACTTCAGCTTCTGGAACGACACGAGTGCCAGGTACTCGTCGTAGGTTGCCTTTGCTAAGTCCCTCGTGAACTCGTCCTTCAGCTCGCCGAGCACGCCGAGGACGCGGCCGCTGCGGGAGTTGTACGACTTAGCGCCGGCGGCGGCTCCGATGAGCTCGTTCGGCTTCTTCTCCTGGCCGAGCTGCTCTTCCGTCTTCTCCCAGGGCAGCAGCTGGCTCTGGTGTGCGGACTGCGCCAGCGAGGCGGCCTTTGTGCGATCGGCGTCGCTCATGGTCGCGCCAGTGAGCAGCTGGCTGGGCTGTGTCCTCTCCCCGAAGGACCCCAGAAAGTCATAGAAGTCGCGCTGCATGATACTCTCATACTTCGGGAAACGCCTGCTGACAATGTTGCGGACCTGCACCAGGGCGACCTTGGCCTTCTTGGCCTCTGCAGCAGAGGCGTCCGTCTGGAGCAACTGCACCTTTGAGAGCACCTCCACGGCCCCGGTTAGGAGCTGGCGGGTCTCCTTCATGTCGGCCTCCGCCCCCTTGAACTTTGAATTTTCGTCCTGGCGCTGCGCTGTCGCCGTGGCCAGCGTCTCGGTGTCCTGGGCGATGTCGGCAGCTAGGCCTTCGATCTCCGTCTTCAGCTTGTCCTTCTTGGCCGCTCCCTCCTCCAAGAACGTGGTCAGCTCCGCGATCTTTTTGGTGGCGATCTCGACGGCCTCCGTCTTCTCCTTCCTGTTCGTATCGCACCAACACATGTACTTGTTGTAGCCGAGTGTGTCCGCTGAAGCCTCCTTTTCCACCTGGTCCTTCATATCTGTCAGGAGCCGGATGATCTTGTTCACAGGGTCCTCCTGTCGCAGGAGACACCCAAGCACCATCACTGCCATGCCCGGCCAGGGCGGCCCTGCGCCCAGGCCATGGTGTCTACGCCGCCCTGGCCGGAGGCCAGGAAGCTCAAGACACCATCCTGAGCCTGGGGCCTGGGGCCCAGGACGGCCCTGGCCAGGCACGGTGTTGGTGTGCGGGTTCCTTCTGCGGGCTCCTTGCTCGTGCCCGCCGCCTCAGCGCGTGCGGCACAATGGGAGCGAGGCAGCGCGAACAGCGCGCACACGAGCAGAGCCCGACCACGTGCCATTGGCTCACCTGGGCGAGCGCTGCGCGAATCGCGCGGCTTCTTCAATATGTTGAACAGGGACCGACCGTCCCGGCATTCCTATAGGCTTACCACGGCATGTTCTTAGAACCCAAAAATGTTCGAATAACAAAAACAATGTTCTTAGAACATGACCCTGGTGTGTTAAAACAAGCCAGTCCCAGCCAGAAATGTTCTAAGAACATTTTGTGGAAGCCACAGAAGATTCTTAGAACATTGGATGGTAGGCCTATAGGGACGCCAGGACGCCTCGCCACTGCTTGAATCTGGGCTGGGCTGGCGAGGCTGCGCTGTGAGCCACAGCGGCCTCTGCTCGCCCCTGTTCTGCTCCTCCTGTGGCCCCCCAGGCCATCCAACTCCGGGCGTCGAGCCGCCCAGGGCGCGAGACATGGCCATCTTCGCTCACTCTCGCGCCGCCCCCCCGGGAAGAAGACCTCTCCAGCCCACGCCGCGATGCGCGATCGCCTTCGTGGCCCTGTGGGTGACCGAGAAAGCGGGGAAAGATGCGTTCGGTCTTTTTTCGTTGACAGCGGGGTCCATGCCGAACTGCTGGCGAGGCGTGCCAGCAACAGCTTGCACCCTGGTGGGGCCTCGAAGAGTGAAGATCACATACGTAGGAGGGAGCATGAAGACTGGGCCACACACGGCCTTCGGTGCCATGGCCCGTGATTTTTCACCAACATACATCAATAACATACCTCTAGGGTAGACGTTAAGAACACACATGTCGATATGGTGGAATTCCCCGTTTGGGGATCGTTCGGAATAAACATGCTTTATATGTATGTACACGTGTCAATTACATTTGTTTGTTCAGGAGTTCGGGCCCCAAGGCCCCGGGGCCATCAGAAACATGCCCGGAGCTAATAAGAAACGACGTCGGGAGCCTGGCGAGGTGGGCAACCACATGGAGCGCTCCAGACAGGGCGTCGCCTCCGAAAGGTCGACGGGTTGTCATCTCGCCTTTGGCGGAAGCCGGCGGACGTAACAGTTGACTCCCCGGGAGAGATCAACGCCAGTGTACTCAGAATTTCCTAGGTCGGCCAAGTTAACTCCACCCTGGCAGGTCAGATTTTGAAAGAAGATGTGGAGGTTTGAAACATGTCTGCGGCAAAGTGGTCCCACGCACGGGTGTCGGGCACCCTGATGTCGTTCGGACCCAGAGGGGTAGGGTTCACGGGCAGACGTGTGCTCACCCAGAAAAACGTGCCCCCGCACGAGATTTTGAAAATCTAATTGTCTAGATGGAAGCCAACCGCCCCGCGGGCTGCGACGGGGACGGGACATCTCACGCAAGTGTGCATTCCCGCGGGACGCACGCGGGCTGGACGAATCGCAATGCTTGTTCGGCCGTCGTGGACTCCTTAAATATGACGACAATGACGGCGGCGGCGGTAACAACAACGCAACGCAACGCAAGAGGCCGCGCCTAGACGGCGCATCGGCAGAGAATGAAATGATACGAAAGCCAACGACAAACGTGAAGTAATGCATCGGGAATGCAAGGTGCGCCGGAACACAGACACTGAACGTAAGTCAATGCCGGGCGGCGGAAGACAATTTACGGGACAACATGCAAGACCACTTGTAAACCGACAACTGCTTTACCACACTCGTGGCGCCATGTCGTTCTTCGTCAATTTGCGCTCCACTGCTGCCTTGCTCATGCCGTGCAAGGAGCGGCGGCATGATGACGTCGCTGATGAGAACCAGCACTATCATCCTCAGGCGGCTAACCTCGAAGAACAGGCAGACATCTGCAGACATAGACGTCGGATCCCAGAAGCTGTCCGTATACCCACGGCGCGTGTGAATGGGCCCCTGACGATGAATCCGCCAGCGTGCATCGAGGCACGAAGTGGAGCGTCCTCGGGTCCGCGAGAGTCCTCAATCCTCAAAATTGAAAGTTGCGAACGCTCCTTAAGAGGCCCAGAATGCCCAGGTCTGGTGTTTTTCACAGTAATCAGCTTTCCAGCAAGGGTTTTACACATGGCTCGTAAAACGTAGCCTGCGTGGCCGTTGCCAACCCCGTGCTCGGTGCTTGATGGTCTATCGCATGGTACCCCGTCTGGTCTCCAAGGGGTGGGGGGGTGGGGCGTTGCCGGCCCCCAAATCCGTGACCCGATGGTCTCCATGGTCTCCCGTATGATCTCCAATATGATCGCCCGCATGGTCTCCTGTCATGTCTCCCGCATGGTCTCCTCCTGTGTGGTCTCCCATCTGGATCTGGACTCCCGCATGGTCTCCCATCCGATCTCCCGTATGGTTTGCGTGTGGTCTCTGTATGGTCTCCAGTATGGGTCTCCCGTCTGCTCTCGCATGCGGTCTCCTGTGCGGTCTCCCGCATGACATCCAGTACGGCTTCCCGTATGGACCTCCGAATGCTCCTCCGCATGGTCCCCCGCCTGGCCCCCCTGTGTGCACACCACGCCACTCCCCAACTGGTGCCTGCACGCATGGGGGCTCTCCCTCCTGGGCGCCGCGTGGGCCCCTTGCTGGGCCCGCCGGGGCTCCGCCCCGCGCCTGCCCGCGGGCGCCTGCCCGGGGGCGCCTGCACGCGGGCGCCTGCCCGCGGGCGCCTGCACGCGGGCGCTCGCGGCCGTTCCCGGGCCCCGGGCGGGTCCGCCGGGGCTCCGCCGCGCGGGCGCCTCCGTGGGCGCCTCCGTGGGCGCCTCCGTTGGGCGCCCCGTGCTCGTTGGCGCCGAGGCCTCGCCCCGCGGGAGCGCCGTGCCCGGCCGTGGGCGCCCCGTGGGCGCGCTCGCGGGCGCCGCGTGCCCCAAGTGGGTCCGCGTAGGTTTCGCCCGGCGCCCGCCCGTGGGCGCCTCGTGGACGCCCGGGGGCGCCTCGTGCCCGGGGTGGGCAGCATTTAGCGTTCACAGCATCGCGTAGCCTACCCCGCTTACCCTCCACCTCAGCAGTGCAATCGCTCACTGCTTGGGGCCCGCGCTGCCCAACACAGTATTGCCTTTACTGTGTAACTATGCTTGCTCGGGCCTTCTGCCGCCAAGGTGCTATTTGTTCGAATCCCAAATGTGAGCCCTTCCGGATATGGAATCGGTGGTTCGTGGCCCGCGGTCTCTTTTGTGGTTTCCCGTCTGGTCTCCCGTCCGATCTCCCGTATGGTCTCCCGTCGGGTCTCCCGCATGGTCTCCCGTGTGGTCTCTCGTATGGCCTCGCGCATGGTCTCCCGTGTGGTCTCCCGTGTGGTCCCACGTCTGGTCTCCCGTCTGGTCTCTCGTATGGTCACCCGCACGGTCTTCTGTATCGTCTCCCGCATGGTCTCCCGTATGGTCTCTCGTCTGGCGCCCCATGTGGTCCCCCCGCTGGTCTCCCGTTTAGTCGCCCGTCAAGTCTCTCGCATGGTCTCTCGTCTGATGTCCCGTAGGGCCTCCCTCTCCTTACCATTTAACCGTGCTGTGTGTGTGTGTGTGTGTGTGTGTGTGTGTGTGTGTGTGTGTGTGTGTGTGTGGGGGCTCCGAGTCGAAAGTTGTATTGTAATGCGTAACATATACTACGCCTTAGGCGTACCATCGTACCCCATGATTCATCCATGCAGTAGGTATGAACGAATAGGCGAGAGATAAGAGATGGGAGGAGAGGGTGCGTTGTCAAAGAACATGGGCGTCTCCACTTTTCCGTTACTCGGATGCGATAGTGCCCCACGTGCGGGGCACTCATGTGGAGCGACGTCGCTTGAGCCCAAGCAGCGTCGGGACGCAGGCGCATCGCCCGTATCTTGCCTTTGACCTCCGTTCGAAGTCAAGAGGGGGGAGTCGAACGACGGGCTGCGCCAAACTACATTACATTTGACACGCAATAGCAGAGATAACTAACCGGTAATTTAACGGGCAACCTTTTCGCATTGGCCAGAAGGCTGCCAACATATGATACTTAGTGCTTCCAAAGAGGCCAGCCGTGGAAAACGTCACACTCGTTTGGCGCAGCAGTATGCGCAGAGGGGGCACGCCCACCGTTTCAACCGAACAGTGGATCCACCTGAATAATAGTATCGGATTCTATCCGACGAGATCATCGGACGCCAAAAATCGCAACGCGAAAAACATTGAAGCTCGTGACCGGGAAACGGCAGGCGTGTAACCCGTGACCAGGCGGACGCCAACATGTGCCTATGCCTGCGCTCACGGCCCGATTTGGGCCAGGCCCAGAAGCCGTTGTCCGCTCTCCTCTGTAGGGGATGTACCTTGTTTACTTCGTACTTTAATGACTGTATACCTGCCATGAATTATATGAACCGTTAACGGTAGATACAACGTTTGGTGTGTCCATCGGCCGCCGTGTCACGTGTATCACACCGCTGCACGCTTTATACGATACCTCTCGCTCTCCATCATCTGCGACATCCAACTGATGTGGCCCAACCAGGTACAGTCAATGGGCTTCTCAAGGTCCTAACTGGACAAAGACTTGAAGACCGACTCGGCGTCGATGGTAAGAATTGTTATCGCCTTGGTGCCTAGACCACCTGACTCTAAAATGTTCTTGAGTGTGTCGGGGAAAGTGGTTCAGCCTTAAGCTGGTGTGCCGTAGCGATGGTAGGGTAACCAGTCTTCCAAAATGCGAGCTGCAGCTACGGTTTCAACGGGGTAGCTGGATCTCACCTCTAGTCGATGTGTTTTACAATCTGCACCTGTCAGACGCACAATAGCGTTTCCGATCGGCGTGTCCACGCAATAGTAGGTTCGCACCTCGGATGCCATGCCCCTTAACGTCGTCGTCGGCCTCGCAACTCAGGCGGCGATGACGTGAGGCGCTACGTAGGTCCACCTCCCCTGGTGGGGTCATCATCTGGTATACTTTGTTTGGGCATTGTTATACTTCGCGTGCCACGGCGTTGAATCGATGTACTTGTATAGTTGTCTGTTATTGGGCACGTTGTAGAGAGACCACGCGCACCATTAACCATACTTGGGCGGTTGAAGAGTACGCTGAGGCACCACTTGAGCATATGAAAATATGGAAGACAGTGTTCGTCGCTGTCTCTTCTGCTTCGGATCCAGCTCTTTCTGAATGTGTTTAATGGGACGAAATTGTTTGATGTATTCATCTTGATCGAGTTGGACGTGGCCGTCCTCGGTCTTGGTGCACCGTACGGCGCAGCTTGTGCAGCTGTTTGAAATCGATAGGGGAATCGATTGAGTGGGATGGATGGTGAGATCTACAATGAAAGCGATACTGAAGTCGACCGGGGACACGGGTCAGCCCGGAACCAACAACTGGGAACCCAGGAACCCAGAACCAGGAACCCAGGAACCCAGCCGCCCACCGACATCAAACAGTCTCTGTCGCCAAATCTTTCAACCTCCGCTAGGACCCTTCCAATGCAAACACTGACTGGGGAAATGTGTCATACACCTACAGACATATGTATATTTACATACATCCACACATATATATATATATATATAGATGCCTATATATATACATATGCGCCTTTATTCAAAGAGAACAACAACACATCTATACACAGGGAGTCAGAGAGAGAGCGAGAGAGAGAGAGAGTTTTAGAAAGAGGGAGAGAGAGAGAGAGAGAGAGAGAGAGAAAAAAAAAGGGACACAAACATATAATAACTAGAACGGACTACAATGTACACTCGAACTCGACTAAGGCGGGAGGAAGGCCGACCGAGGTACCTACGAAAACTTCAGAAATCAACTGATTTGATGTTTCCGGGTGTAATTACGCTTCGTTCTCTGGCCATTCGTATCCATGGGTTTGAGCTTCCGTCTCTGAAACTTCCCAGTGGTATGTCTTCGGCTAGGACCTCTGCCTCTTCCACCGGGGGATGGTGTCTCAAAGCCGTGATCGGTAAGGATAAGTAGGTCTGAAGCTACTCCCTGTCCATGTAGCGGGCGGGTGCGCCTAATTCCTTTACCTCGAACCTTACCATCACGATACAATTCGCGGCGTGCTGCTCGTTCGAATTTTCTAACAGGCTCTCTCATATGTCGCCACCATCGGCACTTCGCATGATGATAGCTTATGCATAGGTATGGTGCAGCTTGCTCATCGTTGGCTGGTAGGTCGGATCAATCGATTTCATCAGTACCAACAGAGCAGCAGGTGTCCGTGCTTGTTCCAGAATCGAAGGGTGAATCGTTTTGTTGGCCAGCTGAACTCCACGAGGCGGTAACAGCAGGTGATGATCCGCTGGCTGGGGCAACAGCCAACCAATTTGTGGTCTTATCGGCTGATTTTGTGGTCCCAGTTGCCTGGCCTAGGAGCTTCGTACATTCGTTTAGCTCGTGATCGCTCCAAATGTTGCCTGGTGTGGCGGACGGTGTGCCGCTGATGTCGACATGGGATCCTGCGGCATGGAACGTCCTGGCCGCTCTGCTACGGGAGATTTCCCCGATGTTCCCAGGTGGGCGCTCAGCTAGGTGTCCATACCTGCGCATCCGTTCCAATAGTTGATTGTACTGTTGTCGCATCTGGTGGTTAAAGGGCTGTAGGAGCTGGGATGCTCGAGAGGTGCCGAATCCCAGAGCTCGGAAGAATAGGAGCGTCAAGATCTGGAAATCTGGGATGTTAACTCCGGCAGAGTCTTGTTCAAACCTTGCTATGTCGGATCGGGCCAGTACCGAACAACCCTGGCATCGACGATGGCTGTGCCTGGGGTGAACTGTCCCTCGTCATCTGATTCTCGGACTTGGTGCTGAGGAGAAGCTTGATGTACGTAGCGCTTTCGGTACGTTGGCCCTGTAGGGTTACTCCATAGTTGATGATTGTAGATTGTCATCGCATCGCCAGGGTCCTGGCTAGGCCGCCAAACCCCCGCTGCAAGGCAGGGTCATGTATTCACTATTTAAATCAGCCACGCGTGGAGTCCGCGAGAGATCTCGCGGAGAGGAGCGTCGCCTGTAGAGTCCCAGGAGCACCCTTTAGTACGTGCTTCGTCAATTCCTCTCCGTTTCATGTGTCCTCTCGTTCGACCAAGATACACCCATATGATGCCACACGTGGCGACCTTGAAATAGTGCATGGTCATATCGGTGTTGATGGTGTCGTTGTCGTCGTGTTTGTAGGCTGGCGTGTCCGACGGTCTGTCGTGATTGTGATCTGACGTGGCCGTCAACCTTCGGATTGGTGTTGGGCTAATGGCTTGTAGCCGCGGCGTACACGTGTGAGCCGACGTGGCCGTCGGTAGATGTGCTGTCATAAATAAGCACATGTTTGGCCTGTGGCACCCGCAAGGAAGCCGGTGCAGTAGGATGTACTACCTTTGAAGTAGTCCACCATTCTGTGCCGTGGAATACTGGCATCAATATCAGAGCCAGCCTCACGAAGATGAGGCCAACTCCGCTACCCAATCGGAAATGCGACGGTAAACCGTATTATATACTACGCCTTAAGCGTGCCCTTGTAGCCCATGACTTATCCATGCAGTAAGTATGAGCGGGCCGATACGAGACATGACATGGGAGTAGAGGGTGATCATCGAAAGACATGGACGTCTCCTTTTTTCCGTTGCTCGGATGCTGTAGTGACCTACGCATGGGGCAATCATATAGACGGACGCCGCTAGAGCCCAAGCGGCGCCGGGACGCAGGCGCGTCGCTCGTATCACGCCTCTGACCTTCGTTCAAAGTCTTCTGCCGCCAAGGTGTAATTCTTTGGTTTCGTCGCGTGCCTCCTGGGGCCAACCGCGTGACTTCTCCAGAGGCCACAGGGCCGGAAGAGGGGCCACTCGGTTCCGAAGAGGCACCCAAGACGGTTCAAGAGGGCTCTGAGACGTCCCGAGAGCGCTCCAAGACGCCCAAGATGGAGTGAAGACAGCTCAAAACGTTTCGAAAACTCACCGAGAGGGCCCCAAAAACACTTCTAAGAGGCAACAGCATTGACTAGCACAAGACTTTTGGGGGATTTTCACGTTCTCGCCTTTCTAGGTTTGCAAACGCCCAAGACGGCCCAAGAGATCGCCCTACGACGGCCCAAGAGGCCCCCTGGAGGCCCTCAAGACGGCCCCCGGGAGGCCCTCGAGAAGGCCCAAGAGGGGCAAGAGGCACCAAGAGGCGTCCCAAAGGCCCCCAAGAGGCCTGCAAGAACCCCCCACGAAGCCCTCCAACATGCCGCCGAGAGGCATCTCAATATACCCTCCTATGCACCCAAGGGCCCTAACCCAAAACCTAGGCACCCACTAGATCCGCCGCCCCCCATTGTCTGCAAGAGGTGCTGCGTGTCGAACGATGGCCGAGGGTGAACCAACTGGTCACGTGGAAAGAGCCCTAATTCGGTCTCCAAGCTGCTTTTCCGTCTAAGATGCCCCCAAGACGGCCAAGATGGCTAGCAAGACGGTCAAACAGTGTTTCGATGCGGCCATTTCGGAGAGCCCGAAGACGCCCAAATCATTCATTTACTTCGTGTATTACAAAAGCTGTCTAAACAATTTTCGCGTTCTCGCTTTTTCGAGCTTCCGACAGTCGAAGGCGGCCCAAGAGGCCCCCCAGAGCCTCATCCTCCTCATGTTCATCCCTTTCTTCATCCTCTCTCCCTCTTCCTCTCCCAAGTGCTCCCGCAAGGGTTTCCACAACGGCTCGGGGAACTCATGGTCCAATAGCTTGGTAAAGCTTTGGCCCAGCGTTTAACCACATAGGCGCTTCCAAAAGGCCGGGGGCGGCGGTGGTTCGCCGAAAGCGTCTTCGATCTGCTGCCCCCCGTTGCTTGCAAGAGGTGTTTGTTTGCGTGCCGAGTGTTAACCGTTTGAACCATTCCAAAAAGGTTCCCCCGTGGGATCTCGGCGCATCCCGCTGGCCACCTGTGCGCAACGAGCGAGCAAACAAGAAAACTCAAATTACCCTGTGACGTACCCAACCCATTTGTATCAATGGAAACGAGGAATTGGCCGAAACTTGCATGGACAATCAACTTGATGTGTAAGCTACTTGGGGCACGCGCCTATGGCACGATGCGCAGGAGAACCATACAAGAACGAGGGGCGACAGCTACAGGCTCGAAGAGGACATGGGGAGTCGGGAACGCAGAGCAGGAGAAAAACGTGCGGGAAGCCGAACCATCAGCACGGCAGCAGCAGAGGGAAGGTGATTGCAGGAGGAGAACACGGACGAAAGCGGCGTCTAATTTGAGTCTGCGGTGGGTACCCACTGTGCTGTGCCCCTCAGCAGCCCTCGAACGTGGCGGCAGTTTCACATATCGCAGCCCCCAGGGATGGCGAGGTCTAATTTGAGTCTGCGGTGGGTACCCACTGTGCTGGGCCCCCCAGCAGGCCTCGAAAGTGGCGACAGCTTCACAGATCGCAGCCTCCCAGGGATGGCGAGGCTAATTTGAATCTGCGGTGGCCCACTGTGCTGGGCCCCCCAGCAGGCCTCGAAAGTGGCGACAGTTTCACAGATCGCAGCCCCCCAGGGATGGCGAGGTCTAATTTGAATCTGCGGTGAGTACCCACTGTGCTGGGCCCCCCAGCAGGCCTCGAAAGTGGCGACAGTTTCACAGATCGCAGCCCCCCAGGGATGGCGAGGTCTAATTTGAATCCGCGGTGAGTACCCACTGTGCTGGGCCCCCCAGCAGGCCTCGAAAGTGGCGACAGTTTCACAGATCGCAGCCCCCCAGGGATGGCGAGGTCTAATTTGAATCCGCGGTGAGTACCCACTGTGCTGGGCCCCCCAGCAGGCCTCGAAAGTGGCGACAGTTTCACAGATCGCAGCCCCCCAGGGATGGCGAGGTCTAATTTGAATCCGCGGTGGCGTCACTGTGCTGGGCCCCCCAGCAGGCCTCGAAAGTGGCGACAGTTTCACAGATCGCAGCCCCCCAGGGATGGCGAGGTCTAATTTGAATCCGCGTGGCCACTGTGCTGGGCCCCCCAGCAGGCCTCGAAAGTGGCGACAGTTTCACAGATCGCAGCCCCCCAGGGATGGCGAGGTCTAATTTGAATCCGCGGTGGGTCACTGTGCTGGGCCCCCCAGCAGGCCTCGAAAGTGGCGACAGTTTCACAGATCGCAGCCCCCCAGGGATGGCGAGGTCTAATTTGAATCCGCGGTGGGTCACTGTGCTGGGCCCCCCAGCAGGCCTCGAAAGTGGCGACAGTTTCACAGATCGCAGCCCCCCAGGGATGGCGAGGTCTAATTTGAATCCGCGGTGGGTACCCACTGTGCTGGGCCCCCCAGCAGGCCTCGAAAGTGGCGACAGTTTCACAGATCGCAGCCCCCCAGGGATGGCGAGGTCTAATTTGAATCCGCGGTGGGTACCCACTGTGCTGGGCCCCCCAGCAGGCCTCGAAAGTGGCGACAGTTTCACAGATCGCAGCCCCCCAGGGATGGCGAGGTCTAATTTGAATCCGCGGTGGGTACCCACTGTGCTGGGCCCCCCAGCAGGCCTCGAAAGTGGCGACAGTTTCACAGATCGCAGCCCCCCAGGGATGGCGAGGTGCAATTTCAATCCGCCGTGTGTACCCACTGTGCTGGGCCCCCCAGCAGGCCTCGAAAGTGGCGACAGTTTTACAGATCGCAGCCCCCCAGCTGGCGCGCAGCGACGAGCGAGGCAAAAGGCAAAGGGGAAGAGACGGGCGGGAAGGGGCGGGAAGGAAGGAAGTAAGGAAGGCGACGCGCGAGCAGTGCTCTATTCAAAACGAGAACCCAACGCAGGAGGGTTGGGAACAAACACGCCTGCGAGATTGCGGAGATGGCCCAAGGTGGCCTCCAACATGGTCTCCAGACGCTTCCAATATGGCCCCGAAAGACACACAGATGACCCCAGTATGCCTCCAAAGAGGCTCAATACGGACCCAAGGCGGAGACCTCCGAAGGGCCCTCCGTAGGCCAAAGCTCGTTGCTTTCCATGAGGCTTTGAACACTAAGGCAGCGGAGGGTCGCCGTATGCGTCTTCGATAATTCGCAACGGCCCACTCAGAAGCTGAGCCCGCGGCGGAATCCGGGCACTTTGCGACGGAGAAGAAACCAGTATCGCTGCATGCGTCCTCGAAGCAACGCACCAGCTGCACAGGATGAACAGGCCAACTGCCTTCATTGTCCGGGAGGTCTAACCAGTCCGCCACCGTGCCTCGCGCACGTTGAAGCGTGGAATATTGCCAAGGGCTGTCTGGTGAGGCGTCTGTATTCAAATTCGTGACACCTTTCCTACCCGCGCTTCCTGCATGCACCGCCCCCCCTCCCAAGGCCGCTGGGTTCCAAGGAGAGTTGGCATCTCAAGTTGGGAGTAAGCAAGAGGTGAGAGGTACAATTGGACGGCGATGGGATGGTGGAGATGTCTTTTCTCCTGCCCAGCGCCGCACCTCGTGAGTAGCTGGCTGTGCCAATCACTCAGGCAGATGGCGCGGCTTCGCTTTGACTTAGAGCGGGGCGGCCGAGCAAAACACACACACACACATATATATATATATATATATATATATACGTCTATAGTTTTTATATATATATATGTATATGTTTGTGTATAGGTGCACACAACTATACACACACGCATACATATGTATACATGTGTATATGTGTATAGAGAGATAGATACAAGATGCCCTCGGGGCGTTCCCTCAAACATGGAAAGGCGGGGGTGGCGAAACTCGGCCGTCGCCGCCTGGTATATAGGTCCAAGGCGACGCTAACACTTAAACAATAGAGACCGATCGCAGAAAGCTTCGAACACGTACCCAAAGCTTAAAAAAACAGGCGATGCGCGATGCCAGGCCATGTTTCCTTACACCCGGCAGCCTGGCACCAACGTGTGGTGGGCAGAGGCGCGCTGCATTATGTAGCTTGGGTGGGGCAGGCCACGGGGACGGTCTTGAAAGCCCGGGCGCAGAAAACATGGGGCGAGGTCGCGGTTCCCCGACACACAGGGGGCACTGGGTTCGGTCGCGACTCCGCGACAGCCAGGTACAGGAGGAGCGCGGGGACGCGAGGGTCGGCGCGTGCTCTGCGCGTGGCCAGCAAGAGACCCCCCTCTTGCTGCGAAGAACGGCTGCAGCGGAATGCTCCACCAGACCTCTGGGGTCTGTTGAGGCGCGTGCGCATCATCGGCAGTCGTCTGTGAGCGATGGGAGGCCTGTTGCCTCGATGCGGCGGTGCGTGCGATTTGACTTCGTGCGTGTAGCTCTGGCGGCCGGCCGTGACTTGCAAGTGCAGGTCGCGGTCGGCAGTGCCCTTGGTGTTGCCGTCCGCCGTCGCGTCGCGGGTGTCGCGCCACTACGCGTCGCTGATAATGTCGACGTTTTGCAATTTTCTTATCCATATGATGTGCCCCAGCGCTGTCTCCTCCGCGGGCGTTTTGAAATTTTCGCTGGAACGAAACTTGTACAACTACTGCTTCGGAGATATCATGCGGGATTCTTGAATGCAAGGCCCACCGCATTTACGGGGGCGTTTGTGCTCGGAGGGAAGTGCCCCCATAATGAGCTCATGCAATATTGCCAGCGTGGGGTAACAGTCATCCAGACTGTGAGCGGTGGCAAGTGCTTCGGCAGCATAGCTGGACCTGACTTGAAGACGATGATATTTGCGGAAGCTATCGACGATGTGCGACCTCCTCTGCGCTGCTCGTATTTCGACGACGCAGCAAATTGTATCCAAGAGTACCGCAACCTGTGGTCTCGCCGTCCTCTTCGGCGGTGAGCTTCCGAGGTCCGGGGTCGTCGCGCAAGTCTACGGCGCCATCCGCGGGCGTCGCGTGGTAGATAATCTTTTCGGGTCTCTGCAACAGTCTGCGGATGAGGGCATTCAAGCGTCTCGCCTGTATGTTCGTCGGTTCCTGAATGCGCTGCGAAGAGACAATGCATTCTAGAAACCAGAATTGGGCAGGTGTTGAATTCGCAAGGGATCCCCGTAGGCAAACACACATACCGCTGACAAGTGTGTTAGCCTTTGTTTCTGGGGAAAAGCCTGCAAGATTGGGGCGTGCAATCGGGCGGCGTCGACGTGCTCGTCCTGACCCGTGATGACATCTCCCTTTGTCGTCTAGGTGCATCTCGCTGCGCAATTCGTGCAATTCTGTTTGTTCCCACATCCTAAATAGGGTTATTGTTTTCTCTGGGCGCCCTCCGCACAGGATCTCTCCTCCTCCTGCTCCTCCTCCCCCTCTCTGTCTCTCTCTGTTTCTCTCTTCTCCCTTCGCACACTTACTTAATTACTCACGCGCCATGATCACTCACTTTCACCCACTCACCCACTCACTCGCCCACCCACTCACGCACTCTATCATCACCATCGTCGTCATCACTTGCACACTCATTCATCTTTGAATGAATTGCGAGGAGGTCTCAGGCGGGAACCCCCTCCCTATGGAGCCCGCACTTCATGTTGGCAATCCGAAAATGTCATCGGAACCGTGCAACTGTCATCACTTTGGGCATCCTCAGGCTTGATGATGGAGGATGTCTCGAGCGGGAGCCTCGTCTGCGAGTGAATAGCGAGGAAGTCTCAGGCGGGAATCCCCTCCCTATGGGGCCCGCGCTTCATGTTGGTAATCCGACCGGGTCACCGGAACCGAGTGACTGTCGTCAGTTTTGGCCTCAGGCTTGAATATGGAGGAACTCTCGAGCGGGAACCTCGTCTGTGAGTGAACTGTGAGGAAGTCTCCGGCGGGAGCCTCCTCCCTATGGGGCCCGCGCTTCATGTTGGTAATCCGAACGGGTCGGAACCGTCTAAATGTCGTCTCTTTTGGCCTCCTCAGGCTTGAAGATGGAGGAAGTCTCGAACGGGAGCCTCGTCAGTGAGTGAATTGCGAGGCAATCTCCGGCGGGAGCCCCCTCCTTATGGAACCCGCCTGCACTTCATGTGAGTAATCCGAAAGGGGTCATCGGAACCATGTAGATGTCGTCACTTTTGGCCTCCTCAAGCTTGAATATGGGGGAACTCTCAAGCGGGAGCCTCGTCTGTGAGTGAACTGTGAGGAAATCTCAGGCGGGAGCCCCCGCCCTACGGGGCCCGCAATTCACGTTTGGTAACCCGAATGGGTCATCGGGATCCTGTAACTGTCGTCACTTTTGGCCTCCTGAAGCACGAATGTGAAACAAGGAAATATCAAACGGGAGCCTCGTCTGTGAGTGAACTGCGAAAAGGTCTCAGGCGGGAGCCCCCCCGTATGGGGCCCGCAGATCATGTTGGTACTCCGGAAATGTCATCGGAACCGTGCAACTGTTATCACTTTTGGGCGCGTGAGGTTCGAATATGGAAAAAGTCTCGAGCAGGAACCTCGTCTGTGAGCGACTTGTGAAGAAAACGCAGGCGGGAGACCCCTCCCTATGGGGCTCGCATTTTGTCGTGGTCATCCGAGCGGGGTCGTGCGAATCCTGTGAATGTCGTCAGTTTTGGGCTCCTCGGGCCTCCCGCGGAGTGCGGGGAATGCGCGTGAAAACAACTTTTTCGCCCCCGCTACTTGAGGCATGGAACCTGGCTGCAGGTGCGTGGCTTCAAGGAGTCTCCGATCTACCAGGAGGTTGCCGAGCTGCTGCGACATGGCGCCGACGACGACGGCGAGGCCGAGGCGCGGGTGAGGAGCTTGCTCATGTTCAGGCCCGGCGAGCAGGAGCTCTCGTGGCAGAGCTCGGGGCCGCACGTCGTGCGCCGCTCGGGGTTCACCGTGGCGCACGCGTCCTACCTCGCCTCCACGCTGTCGCAAGGCCAAACGTTGTGCAAGGGCCTTGCCATTAATTGCGCGAGCGATGAGAAAGCTGGCCGCACGGGCATGTCGGACGAAAAGTTGTGGCTGCACCTGTACGTCGTATTCCCCGCGCCACGTGCGTGCGGAACACGTTGGTCATGCGGCCGCCTTCGCGTGAATTTCTGGAACGCGGGCCGCCGGCGCCGTTGTGGAAAACGCTCAAGAAACTCAATGAGAAAGCGAAGACCTTCAGGGCTGAGGCGGGGCAGCTCGCAGCACGGCTGGGCTTCGCGCTGCCCCCCGCCTGAGCGCGGCCGCGCTTACCTCGAGGCCGGCGGGGTGTTCCCAACTGCCCGGCCCGCGGGGTTGTCCCGACGGCCTGCCCGCGCGCCTCAGCGGCCCGCGGGGTTGCCCCAAAGGCATGGCCCGCGGGGTTGCCCCAAAGGCTTCGTGATCCAGCCGTCGGCGAACGCGCGCGCGCGCAAGCCGAGGCGGCGACGGCGCCGAGGAAAATCGATTTGCTCGCCTCGACTAGGGGGAAAGGGAGGTGCACATGGAGAAGGGGTAGGAGGATGAGGAAGGGGCATGGGGCATGGGGAAGGCGATGATGAGGAGGTGGAGAAGGAGGAGGAGGATGAAAAAGGAGAGGAGGACGGGATAAATGTAAGGAGGAAGAGAGGGCAGAGCAGAGAACGAAAGGAGGGTGTCCACCAGGGCGAGGAGGACAGGGCAAAGGGCGAGCAAAACAGATTTTCGTGCGGGGTCCTACCGTCGGATTAATTCAACTTGCGCTTGCCAAATACCTGCCTGACTTGTTTGACGTGGGCCTCTATGCGGACTCCTCGCCGCGCATATTTGTGTCGTCCGCGTGCCTGGCTGTCAGCAGGTCCTTGGTGGCCTCGAACTCCACTTCGTAGGACATGGGTTTGAGGCTGATGCACTCTGTGGTCTCTTAAGCTCGAGGGAGAAGGCTCGCGGGGCATCCTTGGCCCCAGTGCCAGCCTTGATACATTTTAGAGCGCGTCGTGACTCGTCGTAGTTCGCAGCGCTGCCAGGAGGCAGAATGAAACGCGCAATGCGCTCCAGTTCGCCCGTGGCTCCGCCCAGTTCTCTGCGTGACAAATCTTTGAGGAAAGCCTCGTCTACGTCGAGTCAGGAACCACCCAAGACGGCCTACGAGGGCCCCAAGGGACCTCTCCCTTACACTGAAAATCAACACAATCCCAAGACGGATCAGACGAGTTCCGTGAGAGCTCTTCAAATAGTGAAGACGACAGGTGTCACATGCATGTGACGGCCTTCCTATTCCTCCTCCTGCTACGCCTCCTCCTGCTCTTCCTACACTTGCACCTCGTCCTGCTGCTCCTCCCCCCGTCCTCCTCCTCCTCCTCCACCCTCCTCCTCCTCATCATTATCACCACCATTACCATCACCACCGCCATCATGATATCACAACCATCGCCACCACAACCATCAACATCACCACCAACATCATCAGCAGCATGGTCATCATCCGCATGACCAGCATATTCATCATCACCATCATCACCACCATCCTCACCACCACCATCCCCATCACCACCACCCCCGCCACCACCAGCACAATCACACCACCACCATCCACATCATCATACTCATCAACATCATCACCCCCATCACCACGATCTTCATGATTATCACGACGATCATGGTCATCATGCTTACAATACTGATCATCATGCTGATCATCATTACCATCATCATCATCATCAACATCACCACCATCATCAGCACCATCACCATCACCATCACCATCACCATCAGCATCATCATCATCATCATCATCATCATCGTCGTCGTCGTCGTCGTCGTCGTCGTCGTCGTCATCCTCAGTATCATCATCATCATCATCACCATCACCAACAACATCGTCAAAACCAGCAATTTCCATCATCACAATCATCATCAGCAACATCGCTATCATCCCAATCATCTTCACACTTCCAATCGTCCTCATCATGGCTCTCCCAACGCTGGACATATAAGGTGTCGCACGCGACGGTCTCTAAGGCCCCTTTGGCCAGGTGCCGCCGACAAGGTTGGGCTGGCACAGTGGCGGGACTTGCCGAAGGCAGCTGGATAGACTGCAGCACTCTTAGGCCTGGCAGAGTAGATGATGAGGTTCAAGAACCGCTGCAACCCAAATGGGAACCACTTTGGCATTGCATTGTATGCATGGGGGGCGTACCGTGCAAACAGAACAAATTGCCCCTCCATCGACACCAAGCGAGGAGAGTCGAAACGGTAGGGCAGAGAATCCTTCAATGACACCCAAGTCCCAAGGTCGTCCTTGCGTGCGAAAAACATCTGAGAGCCGAAACCTGTACGGTCGCCATCCTCGTTGCGACCGATCGCCACCAAATCGCCACATGCCGTAAAAGCGAAGGACACTTCACTGATGCCACCCACGTACACTGCGAGGTCCTTACCTACAGGCTGCCAATTTACGCCGTCCCGTGACTTCTCAAAGACAACAGTCAACTCTGCGTCGGCTGCATAGTGGTTGCCTATGTATCCCACTTTGTATGCCTGGTCCTCATGGACTTTAATATCCCAAGTGATTTCAGCAGCCCTGCCCATAGCCACAGGGTCGGCCCAACTTTGAAGGTCAGAGGTCACTGTCCAATGCATGCCGCGAGGAGCAAACCCCTTCTTTTGGGGAGCCAGGCAAGCAAAGTATAGAAATAGTTTGCCCTTGAACTCCCACAAGAGAACCTCCCTCAAATCGTCTTTGCCAGTGGTGTACTCCCAAACAGTTTCCCAGTCCTGCAAGTTTGTCGATGTGGCGACAATGATGCGAGCGGAAGGTGAAGCAAAATGTGTCTCTGCCTTCCTGTAGGCAACGACCATCTGGCTCCGAAACGAAGCAATGGATACGTTATTGTTTGAAGTCATGTCAGGCGTCAGGGTTGAAGCCCTGTGTGACCGGCCCAGATACACGTCTAGTTGACCCTTGTAGCGCGGCAAAGGCGATGGCGGTCGTGCCATGGAGGCCAGCCATGCGAATAGCGCGGCGACTGAGGCAATCAACGCCGCGACGTATGAATAGAACACCGCCGTAATAGCGATGATTCCCCAGAACAGCTGCAAGTGGTTGCACCTGACAGAGGATGAACAACTCCAGCACCACCACCACCACCACACCCCCACAGTACCATTTCGGGCGTGGATCTTGGTCGGATGTGGCCTCCTGGCTTAGGGGGGGGGTCGATCTACATGAAGATCTGCGCCTACACTTTGCCTGTGCAGGCAGGGTGGTAGACAATTCCCGTCTCCCGATGCACCTTTCGAGCAGAACCTCCACGACGCTTCCCAATGCGACCAGCAGCAGCTCGTGGATGCTCTTGGCCATGGCTGGAACTAGTCGCCGAGACACGCAGCTCGAGCTCACTGGCGATGGGTTCAAGATCGAAGGAGGAGCAGGAGTGGGAGGGGGAAGAGAAGGATGGTCAGAGGGATGAGTAAGGATGGCGATGACGACGGCGAGGTTGACGACGGCGATCACGATAACGACAAGGACAAGGACAATAGGTGAAGAACAGCGCGCGGCAGGACTTGAGGATGCCTGTCGCGCCGGAGTTCGAGACGTCGGCCCTTTCTCGTGGCCACTATGCCGCCCGCGATGGCCCTCGTTATTCTGAACTTTTTCTCATTCCTCGCGTGGCCCGACGGCACCGCGAGCCCTTTACTCGGATCCCGCGCAGGGCGGTCCAGCAGCGTAGCCGCCGCTCGGACTTCCTTCAGCGCTGGGCCAACGACGACGGGGTGGTCGCTCTCAACCGCCTCTACGGTTACTCGGGCGAGCTTCCCTCGGCATCCTCCAACCTCGGCCAGCAGTCCAGCCTGAACTTTTTGAAGGACTGCTACCTCGGCATGGGTGTGAAGCCTAGCGAGTCCGGCTTTGCTGAAGAAGCCCTCCGCGAGCTTCTCAACGGCTCTGCCGTCTACTCGACGACGGTGGGGCCCGCGTCCCGTACTCCAAGGAGCTGGTCTCCTGGCCTGAGGTTGGTTCCAGCCCTATGGATATGCTGGGCTGCCTGTCTCAGGGAGATGCTGATTGGGCCCGAGACTGGCGACATCACTTGCTCGACATCCCCGAGGAGGCCTGGCACGGCGCCCAACATGCTTGCCCCTCTGGCCCCTTCGTCAACAATCTGGTTGACCAAGGGCTCGATTTTGTACGGCGAGTTTGTTCGGCGACTTCATCGGTGTGGGATGCTGCTTTCCAAACTGACCTCCAACTCCAATCAGAGGATCGGAAGGTTTTTTGTGACCCGATGCCTTTTTCCCAACATGATCCTTCCACGAGCATGAAGGGACCAAGCCGAACCGATAACGGATAACCGTGGCCGAACCGAGCCGAACTGGACCAAAACAAGAAAAATCAAAACCGAACCGGACCGAACCGAATTCGTTCAGAACCGAACCGGGGTGAACCGAACCGAACCAGAACCGGAACCGAACCGGAACCAGGTGGCCCTCCGAACCCAACCGGCGGGTCGGGGCGGGTCGGGGCGGGTCGGAGCGGGTCGGGGCGGGTCGTTGAAGGTCGGGGCGGGTCGACCATCCCGTTCGATGACCAGGTCACCTGGCGCAATTCCAGGGGCCCCATTCAACGCATGCACCTCAGCCTCCATAGGCTGGGATGGGTTTCCACGTCGGCGCTGACTTTCCGCGATGACAGGGGGAAGGAAATCCATATGGGGTATACTTCTCCATCCATGCTTTCCCATTTGCTGGACCTGGCCACCCAACGGGTCCACGAGCGGGCCTTAGTGGCGTGCACCCCTGGGTTCGGCGGGACCCGCGTTTGTGGACCCCCTCCAAAAGGCCCTCGGAGCCCAAGCGAAAGGTCTCAGCCCGCGAGAGAAGTATCTTGCTCTCACCTGTTTTGCAGAGGCGTGTGGACACGCACTCGAGCCCGCTCGTGCGGGTATCAGGCAAACGGTTTGTGCCCTCTTTGTGGGCAACCTGATGGGGTGCGCCATCGACTTTGGCAGTGCATGCACCCTGCGGCCGCTCAAGCTCGAGCGGATGCTCTGGAGGGGGTGCCTGTGGAGTGGCACGCCGAGGCCCTTGAGAGTGACGACAGGTTGTTCTTCGATGAGATGAAATGGGACCATCCCGAATCCACCCTTCCCCCCCCTGCCACGGATCCTGACCCAACACTGTGTGATGCCTCTGGCGTTGCCGTGCCTTGGGATTCCATCGATCTGCGGGGGCTCAATGTTTGCGTTGACGGTTCCGCGGTTCGCCACACTATTCGTGAGGTGTCTCGGGCTTCCTACTGGATCTTCTTGGGACCTGGCGTTGATGAGATGGTTGCCATCGTTCGAGGCACGGTGCTCGACACCTTGCCGCAAACGTCCCAGGCCGCGGAGCATCAGGCCATGGCACTGCTTCCCATGTTTCAGAAATTTGGGGGGAGCAGGTACGGGGACAGTATGACGGTTATCAAGCTCTGCCGTGCAGACACTGCGCACCAAGTTTCAAGCAAGCATCGTTACGCTGGACTTCGGCGTGGATCGCTGCTGCACGAGGAGTCGGGTCATGCAGCTCCAGTCATCCACACACCCTGCCCACCGTGAACGGGCCGTCATAGATGCCCTACCCGACGAGGAGCGACGTATTGCACTGGGGAGCTGGCATGCAGATGTCCAGGCCAAGAAAGCGCTCCTCTCTCACCCCCAGCCTTCCCCGCTCGAAATTGAGGATGTGGACAGGAGATGTAACATGCTCCGTGTCATTGCACGCGTCGGTGGTAAGTTTTGTCTGCCTTTCCTCCGGATCGGTTCGAGCGTTTGAGTGTGGGGCCCAGGACACAGCTTTTAATATCAGGGGGCTGGCATGCGTGGCAGGATCTCGAGCACGGAAGAGATCGTTGCCTGCATTGCCTGGCTCTTTGGTGAGACCCGTCTTCCAGACTCATGCTCGGTTGTAAAGGCATGAGCAGCACGTGGCGCAAAACCCTTGACTTTTCTCTCGGGCACACTCTGGCACACTGCAGTGTACTCAAAGGTGATGCTGAGAAGATGCTGTTCTTTTGTTCGGTTTGCGGAACCTGCACCTCGAGTCGCTGTCACAAGTTAGGGCAGGAGTGCAGTCAGCGGCGTTTGGCAGGAGCTCCGACTACGTTGCGACGTATATGCGAAGGTCTGTATCCACACTACCGTGATGCATCTAGGCTCACGAGCAGCTCACGCAGAGGAGCTGCGTACTTGTGCTTCGCAGCCTGGCAGCCTCCGCCACGAGAGGTCGGAGCCTCCATGGCAACACCAGCGGGTCTCGTCTCGACCCAAGGCATGTTTGCGCTGCTGGCGCGCATTGAGGCACGCGAAGCCAATGCGGGCCACACTTCTGCGCCTGTACAGGGGGAGGTCGCAGCTGCGAGCTTGGCCGCTCCCGCACACGGCCTGGACCTTGGTGGGAGACAGGCACTGCCTGCCGCTGCCACCCCCCCCGCGCACGCGGACTCCTCGGCTGACTTCGACGCGGAGGAGGAAGCTGCGCGTCACCTCCAGTCGGAGGAGGGGAGCGTGGGTAACGAGAGCTGGGCGGAGCCTGCACCGAGGCAAGCTGGGTCTCCCTTCGCCCGCCAGGATGCCGATGCTCCTCAGAGCGCTGGAGCGTCTGTTGGTTTTGTAGCCCCCACCCAAGGACTCGTCCTGGGTGAGATGCAGGCGTCGCCTGCCGCCGCCCCCCCTCTTCGTGCGTTGACCCCTCCGCTGTCTTTGCTGGGGAGGCGATCGCTGCGCGCGTCCTCCAAACGGAGGTGGGGAGATGGGGTAGTGAGAGTGGGGCGACGCCTGTGGATGGGCAGACTGGTGTGCCCCTTGCTTGCGAGGAGGGCGAAGCACCTATCGAGGCGAAAGTGGGCTGGGAGTCTGCCGACTCCGACTGATTCGTTCAGCGGATCGTGCACGAGCTCTGTCACTTCTTGTAGCAGTCCTGGTGACACAACCCGCTTTTCGGCTGGCGGCAGATTGACTGCTTGCCATCGGTGCTGCAGTCGTCTGTGCCTCTTTCCTGGCCGCACTGCGGCCCGCATCCTGTGCAGCGCCTCATGATGCTTCTGATTCGGTTGGGTGTTCGAGCATCTGCCTCGGGCGCCCCGTTGTTGGCACGTTTGCCGCCGGTCATGTCCCTAGGGGACCGATGATGAAACCCTGGCCCTGCAGGATCCTGCAAGATCCGTCGCTCTGACTTGCAGCGCACCAAGAAGAAGTAGGAGCAGGTAGTTAGGGCACGACGGCAGACCTCGTGCCCTCGCGAGCACAGGGGCCCCTCTTTCTTCGGGCACACAGGGCGCCAGGCAGGAGCTCGAGACAAGCCTTGAAGGGTTTGCGCGAGAGCAAAGACAGCAAGAACAAAACAGCAAGGACCCCGGGAGGCTCACGCGAAGAAGAGGGCAAGCGGGCCACAGTTGTACCAGCAAGCATCGCAAAGTAGGTGTGGGTGAAGACAGACAGACAGCAGAGCAACACCTGTACCCAACACCCCCGTTTGCATTGGCTCCCGTCTCGGGCCCATGGATGGCCTGGCCGACTGCTGCACCCTGCTGGCCCTGTTCTCCACGCTGGCGGGTGTTACTCCGCTCGACGGTCGGCCCATCCCATCCCCGCCCAGCGTGGCCGCGGGGGTCCTGGACAACGCCCTTCTGCCGTCTTCGGCCCATGGATGGCCTGGCCGATTATGCTTCGCCCTGTCGTCCCTGCGTTCTCCGCGCTGGCGGGCGCCACCCCGCTCGACGGGCGGCCCCTCCCCGCAGGGGCCCGACCTCTCGCCGTGACGCACCGCCCTGCCGCCTGGGCTGGTCGTGGGCATGTGCACTTTGGCCAAGCTGCCACCGTGCGGGCCATCTCGCTCGCCGGCTCCTTGGATTCTCAGATCGTCGAGGATGGCGCCGCGGCGATCCCATCCTGAACATGACCTCCACCAGCGCTGCGGGCTACGTGGACAACTTCTACGTGCTCGGCCACGACGCCAGCGAGATGACGCGGCGGAGGAATGATATCTCCACCGTCCTGCGCGGCTGTGTCCTGACTGACCGCCCACCGTGAGACCGACGCCCGTGCCGATGCCGTCCTGGTGGGGCTGGCGCTCCGAGGGGGGCGCAGGCTCTAAATCGAAGGCCGCAACCTTTGGCGGCTGAGAGCTGCGCTGGGCACAGTGCTGCGCCGCGGCTGCTGCTCCAGCAAGATGCTCGACGTCTTTCGTTGGGCACGTCACGTGGGCGAGCCTCATCCGGCGGGAGCTGCTCTGCGTCCTCAGCTCGGTCTACCCAGACATCGCGGCGGCCGACGCCCCCACCACCTCGCGCCTCTGGCCCACGGTGAGGAGGGAGCTGTGGCTGGTTCGTTCGCTGCTGCCGCTCCCGCACCAGGAGCTCGGCAACCACTGGCGCGATGCCATCGGAATGAGTGATGCCTCGGGGTTCGGCGTCGGGGCCGCGATGTGGGCC